TAAAAATAAATCAGAAACTAAAATGCAACAAGTTGGAAATTTTCGGAAAGCCAGCCTTTCAGAAACAATTACATAATAGAAATGAATAATTATAATATAAATAATCCACTACCATATGCAGAAATTAAAAATCCTCCAATCAAACTGCTTATTGACACTGGAAGTTCCAAATCAATAATTAAACCATTCATTATTGAACAATATTTTCCTGACACAATTTATCACGCAAATATAACATTGAAAACATCACTGGGGAGTAAACAGATCCGATTTCAGTCAGATATCCCAGCATTCGCAAAATTTTCATGACTTTTTTGATGGTGTTATTGGACTTACTGACCTAGTTAACATAAACTTAAATATAGATTTAATAAACAAGAAATTAATAGGCCCGTATGTTGAAATTCCTTTTAAATATAGACAACCAAATGATATAAATTTTTCGTTCACCGTTAATGGTAAAGAATCTCTTTTAAAAAAATTACCTGTTAGTATACAGGATGGAGACAATTATTGAAGAAACATATTTTGGAAATATTTATTTATCTCGAATGATAACAACCGCAAAAAACGGATTTGCTTTAATTGAAGCTCAAAATAATACAGATAAAAGTATTTCTATTAAATTAAATAATCCTATTTTAGCTAAACAATTCCAAAATTCTGAACATGAACTATACAAATCTGAATGTTTTAAAACTAAATTTGAAAAAACAAAAAATTCAAAAATTAAAAAAAGTAAAACTGATATTTCAAAATTAAATAGAACGAGTCATATGAACTCTAAAGAAAAAAATAAAGTAACGAAATCCGTAGAAGATATTTGTCAAGAAACAAACCTATATAATCTTTTTGAATTGGAAACTACTACTAATGAATTGGAAAATACTAATAATAATGATAATAATAATTTGCAAAACGATACTAATTCAAAAAATAATTTGACAAACTATGAATCATCTCAAAATATAATAGATGGGAAACTTCCTAAAATAAATTCATATAATAAAAAAGAATGTTCATTGTTGCACAATAATATTAAAATAAATACAGCAAATAATAAATTTTTATCATCAAATAGTATTAGAACCAAAATGAAAAATCCTGGAACCTACAAATGTTATCGAAAAAGAATAAAATTCAAAAACTTTACAAACTCGGATAGGAAAAGAGTAAGATTTAAAAACTGAACATTAATAATTTAGTTCTAATAGAAATAAACATAATTTTAATTAATTCATATTTCGGAACGTAGTTTAAACTCTTATAAAAATCAAATTTTTTATTACCTCCAATTGTAATCAGAGAATCAATGAATAATCAAGTAAGAACAGAAAATTTTTTTTGAAAACTCTAGAATATACGTAACCTTATCTAAAATTAATTTAGAACAACAAATTATTAATTTTATTAAAAATTATATTGATCCAAAAGTACCATATGCCTTATATTTTAAAAATCAAAATTTACCTAAAACATTTATAACTACAGTGCAAAATAATTTTAAACATTCTGCCTTTAAATTTATACATTGTACAAAATTTTTGACAGACATTTTAACAACTGACGAACAAAAAACTAAAATTGAATATTACCATATTTATAAATCGGGACATAGAGGCATTAATGAAGTAAATACAGCCTTAAGTTCTAGATATTATTGGCCAAAAATGATGGAAGATATTAAATATTATATAAATAATTGTGAAACTTGTCAGAAAAATAAATATGATAGAAATCCTCCAATAGTAAAATTTAATTTAACGCCTACAGCCACAAAACCATTTGAACATATATATATATATATATATATATATATATATATATATATATATATTGACGTATTTAAAATTTCTAATCAATCATATTTAACTATTATTGATTCATTCTTAAGATATGGTCAGGCATATCCTATGAAAAGTATAACAGGAAAAAATGTAGTAGATAACTTATTAAATTTTGTAACCCATCATGGATTACCTCAAAAAATTACAACAGATAGTGGCACTGAATTCAAAAATTATGATTTAGAAGATTTTTGTAAATTACATCATATTGAACTTCATTATACTACTGCTAAAAATAGCAATTCAAATTCACCTGTAGAACGTTTTCATTCAAGTTTAATTGAACATTTTAGATGTCTCAAAGAAGAAAATAATGATTTAACCCCTGATCAATTAATAAAACATGCTAGATTAGCTTATAATAATTCCGTACATTCCGTAACAAAATTCACTCCTTATCAAATAATTAAAGGACATATTAATAATGAAGATCCTTTTGATTTAAATGATCACCTTATAATTTCAAATTACGTACAAAATCATAAACAAATTAGTAAAAAATTATATGAAGACATAAAAGATAAAAACGAAACAATTAAACAAAAAGTAATAGATAATAGAAATGAAAACCGATCAGAACCAATTAATTATGAAGAACCAAGGACTGCATATGTAAAAACTAAATTAAGAAATAAAGCTTCTCCAGTTTATAAGAAAACTAAGGTAATTAAAAATAAAGGTATTTTATTAAAAACTAACAGAGGGACTTATCACAAAAGTATAATTAAAAAACCTAAAGGTTCAAAAACTAATTCAAATTTATTGTTGCAGAAACAAGACGAAAATGGGGACAAAAATAATGATAATCTGCCTAGTACTTCTAGTAATAGAACAAATTAACGCACAAAAAGATATACAAATAACTCCACTTGAAAATTTATTATTACCTATACAATTGGGAACATCAAAAGTAATTTATAGTAAACATACATTTTTACATTATATAGATATAAATTCTATAATTGAACAAGTTCAGCAATTAACAAAAATTTTTGAAATACTTAAAAATCTTATTATTCATGTAGATAATATAACTAATCAAATATCATATCATAGTCTTGCTCAAAATAATTTATTACGAACTGAAATATTAATAAATACTGTCCAGAAAAAATTAGGAAATATTCATCCTTATATTAGAAATAAAAGAGGCTTAATCAATGGTCTTGGAAAATTCAATAAATGGTTATTTGGAAATTTAGACTCAGATGATGAAGAAAGATATAATAAAGCTATAGATCATTTACAACAAAATCAGAAAAATCCCATTGCAGAAACAAATTTACAAATGTCACTTTATAAAAAATTAATTGATCACTATAATCGGACAATAACAATTTTATTTAAAAATCAACAAGCATTTACTGATACCCTTAAAAAACTCCAATATTCAATAGCAAAGAAAATACAAACTTTAGAAACTTTTGTAAACTTTCAAGGAGCACTATCTCAAATTCATTTAGATTGTCAAACTATAATAACTTTACTTGATAATTTAGAAAATGCAATATCATTTTCAAAGTTAAATACACTACATAATTCAATAATTTCTATTGAAGAAATTTTAGATTTATTACAATATTTATCGAAATTATATAAAGAAAATGAAATTATCAAATTTCAAAATATTCTTTCATATTATCAAATTCTAGGTACACAAGTAACATTTACTAAAACAAAACTAATATTTGCTATTCATATTCCTATTTTAAAACCTGTTTCCTATGAATTTTATCACCTTTACCCTATTATCCAAAATGACAAAATGTTCATCCCCAATTACCCTTATTTGGCACGGAAGAAAACCGAAATTCAATTTGAAAAAGATGAATGTCCAACAGTAGAAAAAGTATACTATTGTCAAGAAAATTATATTACTAAAGATGATTGCACCCTTCAACTATTAGATGGAAATAATCCAAATAATTGCCAAGTTTTAGATGTAAGCATTAAAGAATCAATCAGTCAACAAATCACAAGAGACGAAGTCCTATTTATGCCCTCAAAGCCTGAAAAAATACTTTCAACGTGCGAATCCAATCAATATTTAAAAATTGAAAAACCAGTCTTAATTAAAATTCCAAAAAAGTGTAATATAGAAATTAATGAAGAAAATTACATTAACGACGTCCAAATCCAAGAAGGAACGCCTCTGATTTTACCAAAATTCGAAATAGAAGATATGAAGACACCATTTCAATTTCAAGAAGCTAATATAACTAAAGTCAATTTTGAAAATTTATACGAAATAAGTAAAATTGCTAAAAGTTTAAAACCAGTAGAAGAAGTAATAGACAATCCTTATAAAACTAAATCAATATCAATTATCATAATTATAATCTTATGCCTTGTCATTTATTTAATATGGAAAAGAAGAAAAGAAATACTACAATTGAAGATATGTCCTCATCGAAAAGAAGAAAGAAAATCTATACATGAAGAAAATAAAGAAATAGAATTAGAATTAAGAAGAAAAGAAGATAATCCAGAAACTTCGAAGAATCAGTCCCTGATCTTCTCAGCTTAGGAAGGGAGGAGTTATATGAATAGAATTAGCATAGTAAATATTTTTTATCTCTAGCTTAGTCAGCATTTAAAAAGTTATAAATACATGTTAACTTGTTTATTTTAATAATTCTTCAGATATTCTTCATACGTTAGAGTTGTAGTTTGGAATAAGAAAGTTTTTTTTAAAAAACGGTTTTTCCTTTAAAAAACCATAATTCACGTGAGCTGTTGCTGGATGGGAGAGATTGTTTTGACACGGCGTAAATGAAATCTGAATAGACTTTAGTGCAGAGTTGGCTTTATATAAATAGAGCGAGTTTTTTGGAAGACGGGGAAGTTGGATAGTAAAAATAGATTGTAATAAATAAATTAGAATTGTGAGATATTAAATAAATTAGTACGTTGTAAATAAATTATATATAACCTTGCTAATAAATAAACTATTTTTAAATTAAATAATTATTCCAAAGATTACCAAATGGGCGATAGAGTCAAATGAAAAATCATTAGGTATAATTGGTACAAGTTTGATAATCTTCAAGGAGACTATTTTTCCAATACCTAATTGGTAGATTTTAAAATTTAAATTAACTATTTAACTTCTTATCGATTTCAATATAAACACCGTTTTCTGTTCAACTAGCTACAAATTTTGATGAATTTCAAGAAAATTGTTTACGAGTTGAAGAAATGGCGACTAGTTATTTAGTTATGCTTGTTTACATTGCCAATTGTTTTATTCATGGTAAGTTTCCAAATTACACTGTAATAATCGAGAATTTTCAAGGGGTCAATTGACCCAGCACGAATTACTTATAAATCAATACAATCATATGTAACAACAACTTTAGAAACTATCCCTTTAATTATTCTTGTTGCAAATGCGTACACATATAAGCAAAAAACATTGTACGGCCGTTCTAAAGTAAGAAACAATAATGACCTACGATCTAATGCAAACTCTTTTGTTTCATAGACCACTTTCAAAATTTTGCTACATCATTACCAATTTCTAAATCTCGAAATAAAAAGTGAAGATTAGATCTATCTATGGAAACGTTATGGCTGAGTTTTAACGACGACTTAACAGTTTTAAAAAAAAAAGGTTAGAATTGATTGCTTAATAGGGTTAATTATTTGATAATAAAGTCGACTAAACAAATTTTCAATTAAATTTTAATTGATTGTACTGTGAGTGGATGTCAAAAAAGCAAAGTTGGCCAAACGAAAAAGTGACTCCATCCAACTTTACTTTTTTGAAATCTACAGTGACTCACAGACTTCATTATCATGCAGTTTTCTTACAAGTAGAATGGTTATGAAATATATTAGTTCAGTTGAACACAACGGCATACTTTTTTGTTTTATATTCTGTGCGTAGATTAGCTAATTACTATGTGGTTGTAGAAAAACGTATTTATTTTGCAATTTTAAAATTTTTATATCCGATATTTCAAAGAGCTGAACTTTAGATATTTATGTTTAATTTCACTTGTTTTTCTTTTTTCTTTGTCAGTACTACGATTACCTACAAGATGTCGATTAATTAAAATGAACACAACTTTGGGAAGTTCCATTTACAATATAATTAATTATTATATAATAATAATATAATATACAGGGTGTTATTGAAATACACGTACATATTAAAACTGGGTATTGCGCAGATCCCCACTGAATGTAGAAAAATATTTTTTAAAAATACCCCTCATTAAGGGAGTTATTAATTTTTGAAAATTAATTCTAAAACAAACGTACTTCACTGATATATTGAGGATGACCTATATAAATTAGGTTTATTTACCTATTTTAAACATCAACAGTAATTAATATGCAAGTTTTTGTCAGATGATAAGAAAACTAGTCTTGTAAGAAATAACCATGTTGCCAAGATTTTCGAATTAATTTCTATTTCCGAAGACTGGTTTTTACTACCCTCGTTATCAAAAAACTAGAATATTTGATAAATGATTGGTTTTAAACTATACATTTTTGAAACTATAGATTATTAAAATTTTAGTTGATTTACGAATCTGGCTAACACGAGCGCGTCATTTCCAAGTTGCTAAAAAGTGTTGTTACGATTACTTTTAAATATTTTTTTACGATGCCACTATTTACGAATATTGAACTAACGGATATAGTGCTGGTTTATGGGGCAGCTGGAGAAAATTCTCGGCAAGCACAAATCCTGTATCGCGAACGGTTTCCAAATCGGAGAATTCCGGACTGTCGTACGTTTATTTCAACTGTTCAGCATCTAAGAGACCATGGAAAATTTAAGAGTGTCAATGCAGATCGAGGGAGAACAAGAACACAAAGAACATTGGCGGCCGAAGAAGAAATATTGGAAGCTGTTGAAAACCGGCCTCAATTAAGTTGTAGAAGACTAGGTCTTGAAATTGGAGTGTCCTCATTTGTTGTGTGGCGGACACTTAAAGAACAAGGTTTACATCCTTATCACATCCAAAAAGTCCAGGCCTTATATCCAGGTGATGAAGAAAAGAGAGTGGAGTTTTGTGAATGGATGATTCAAAAATGTGTTGATATTCCTGATTTTCTAAAAATATTATTGTATACTGACGAGGCTTCATTCACTCGTGATGGCGTGTTCAATATGCACAATACGCATATTTGGAGTGATGAAAATCCTCACGCCATTAGGGAAACTGGGCATCAAAGAAAATTTTCAATAAATGTTTGGGCTGGCATAATAGATCAGTATTTAATCGGGCCTTATGTTCTCCCGAACAGATTAAATGGGCCAGGATAACTCCACTTTTTAGAAGATATTTTGCCAGTACTCCTAGAAGAGATACCGTTACAATTAAGGCAACGGATGTGGTACCTACTAGATGGCGCTCCTCCTCACTTTGATTTAAACGTACGGCAGTTTTTGAACATTAGATTTCCTCAAAAGTGGATAGGCAGAAATGGACCTACTAAGTGGCCTCCGAGATCTCCGGACTTAAATCCATGCGATTTCTTTTTGTGGGGTCACATGAAACAACTGGTTTATAATGAACCTATTAATAGTGTTGAACAATTAACCAATAAAGTTAATGCGGTAGCCGAGGAACTACGACAAAATCCAAGACTAATTTCTAATGTTCAAAGTTCTTTGAAAAGACGATTGCAAGTGTGTGTAAATAATAATGGACGGCATTTTGAACAATTACTGTAATAAACTTTATTTTGAATTAATTGGTTTTGCTACGGCAACAGTGCAATTTCTATGGGTAAGTTCAATTTCGATTTATTTTACTTCTTTAAATATGGAAACTAGTAGGTCGGAAAAGGCGACTCTTCCCCAATATTTAAATTTTAGAATTTGAAGTTAAAATTGGTGCCAATCGTTTTTGGTCATTACATACTATTCCTCATTTTAATATGTACGTGTATTTCAATAACACCCTGTATATACAGGGTGATCAACTTATTCTCCGGAGTTTGATATCTCTGTTTTGATACGAAAAAAGTTTTAAATACAAATTATAGATACAGTCCAGCTCCGCATTTTAAAATTATTTCGTAATGTACAGGATATTTCATAAAGTCACAGAAGTTATGTTTTTTTACTGGAACACCCTATATGTTATCTTGAATTTGAATTTTAATCATTTTCTCCATTCCGGTAATATAGGGTTTTATCAGGTTCTACAGGGTACTTTTAAAGAAATGGCCACTTTTATGTGAAAATCCTAATGAAATCGTCACCCTATATTATTTAGAATCAACAATTGAGGGTTAATATCTCAAGTCCAGAATAATTTAGTAGTAGTCTAGTTTTGTTGCAACTCATCATGTTTTTGATATCTTTTATTTTATATACAGGGTCATCCAAAACTCACGACCATGATTTTCTCGGTTATTTCAAATGGAACACCCCGTACCTAATATCATTTTCATAAATTTCTTACAAAATACTTTTACTTTTGTTAAGTATTCCCTATAACTAAATGTTACAGTCGTAGAGTTTTTTCTATTTTTAACAATAAAACGATATAGGTGCAGTACCCAAGAATAAGGTAACTAGATTATTTAAATAATGCAACAGCTGGGGGTGATGTATTATTTAAAAGAATAAATCAATTTTAATTTACCTGAATATGAATGAAACATGTAATATTTTTAAAATACAGAATTAATCGAAACCTAACACGTTTCAATTTTATTATATTTAGTTAATTATTGTCTATTTCTGATTTTTATACCTTGCAGTTGGGATACCGCATCAGCTTTATTTTATTATAGCCTACTTTCAGTTTTCCATTGTAAACAGGATTGCCTTCAGTCGGGAACAAGAAACTATGAACAAAACCTATTACCCACATTGTGGGGTCTTCGAAAACACACCGAAGCGGGTATCTTTTTTATTCGACCTACCTGATTGGTGTTCTTTTATATCTCTTATTGCGTGGTTTTTGGTGAAAACAAAAATTGTCTATTGGTTATGGTTTCTGAGAAGCAATTTTTTTTGTGAAATGCTTATGCGCGTCGGCCGCAACCTTTTTCCATCGCGTATCGTTCGTCGAAGGTCAGTGTGTGAATTAAAAGCACTTATAAATACCCTGAAAATGTTGGCCAGAATTTAATTAATTTTGGCTATATATTTTTCAAAATTTTGTATGTTAGGCATATACTTTGGTTAGGCCATTACTTACAGCTGATTTAAATAAATTACGCGCTCGTATATTTCATACCTGTAAATCTAATATAATGAATTTGCCGCCTACTTAGGATGCATTTCATTAGCATATAATAAGAGCTGCGTATCAATTGATTGTCTTGAAGAGCATTATTTTAATAAATCCAGAAATTCTCATCCCAGTTGAAAGAAAATAATTTACTTGTTCCAAAATTGACCACAATAAGTGTTCGTACCGATGTACAATTCGAAAATGTGTGCTGCAAATGCAAACTTCAAAAATGTACTAGAAATTGTATAGTTGTTTAAAAGCAGGGCTGGATTTTATAATAGGTTGTTATTGCGAGGGTGGGTGTTCTTTAAACTAAAATTTAGTTAGTTAAGTTACCCATATAGGGTTTATACATTTTATCATTATATAGTTTATAACGTAAGTACTCCGAAGTATTAATATAATTACTATTTTTGTGTCCCTCGATATAAGGGAAGTATTGTAATCGTGAAAAAGGCACTATCCGAGATTTCAGATTTTCACGTTTCAGGGTCCCTAGATTGCGAAAAACATGTTTCCCCATTCCGTCGGTCGGTCTGTCTATCTGTCGTCTGCCTGTTGGCGCGATAGCTCAAAAACGGCTTAATAGAAAAACTTCAAATTTTGTATACCGGTATGGTTACTTTTTGTCTCAAAACTGGTTATACTTTGTGTCAGTTATATACAGGGGGAGCAAAGTCGACATATTTTGACTAAAATTGGTTTGCTGAGTATTTTAAGAGTCAAAGAAACAGATCCTAAATAAGTTTTTAAAAATTCAAAATGGCGTTGAAAAAATTATATTTAATCGAAAAAGGGCTCCCTTGAATGGAAATAATAAAAAACATTCATTTAGTTTATGTAACTAGACCATGTTAAAAGTAGCTAATCAGCTCCTTGTTTAAACAATTTCTATATCGAGGGAAGTTCTGAGTAAAAAACTTTACCGATATTCTTGTAGTTGTTTTTAGTATATACAAATGTGTAGTGTTGATATAAATTATTAGGCTAAATAAATATTAATTTAAACCCTGATGGTTATTTTTTACCGATGTTTAGGTCTAAG